AGGAGAATTGACATTTTACAATATTGAATTTTCTAATCTATGAACATGTTACATGTCTCCATTTATTTAAGTCTTCTTTAATTTCAACATGTATGCTTTCTAACATAGAGGTTTAAATTTACTCCTAATTATTTTATGTGTTTTGATGCTGTTGTGAATGGAATTTTTAAAATTTTATTTTCCATTTTTTTACCACTAGTATATAGAAATACAATTGATGTCTATATATTGACCTTGAAAAAATTTACTCATTGATTCTAGAAGTTTTATTATAGATTCCTTAGAATTCTCTATGTATGTAAACACTCGTGCTGTCTGTGAATACAAAGCTTTATGCCTTTTATGTATTTTGCGTTCGTCTGCTACATTATTTTAAATGGCAATATAGTATTCCATTCTGTAGATGTGCCATTATTTATTTAACTGTTCACATTTTTGCTGTTACAAGTAGTACTATGATGAACATCTTTGTAGCTGTGTCCATGGTTATTGCCTAGGATAAAATCCCAGAATTGCTGGGGCAGGTATGTAATCTTTTAGTTTTTCCAAGCTCTCCATTAGGATTTTAGTATGAGGTTGTTGTTAATAGAATGTGCTTCTAAACAAGTATGGTTATTTTAATGTTGGGCATCAAAACATTAGACTGTTTCATAGCCATATATCTTCTCATTTATAAAGCCTCGAATTGAAATCCTTTCTGGGTTTCTGCAATATTTGTTTCAGAGTCCTGTTCGATTTGATACCTTTGATAGCCTTTCACTAAGTATTCCAGCTGCCACATGGGTATGTACTGATCTATGATTTATTCTGAGTCTGTTTCAGAGACATTTAAATCTAATAGACCTTTTAGGCGTTTTGTGTGACTCAGGGTACTATGTGTTACTCAGGCACATGGTCGTTTGAACCCCAGCGTAGCTTTAATGTGGTTCTATGGCCTGAGGAGCCCCTGAGTGGTGCATATAGTTAACGCACTCAGCTGCTAACCAAAGGTTGGCGGTTCGAGTCCACCCAGAGGTGCCTTGGAAGAAAGACCAGGCAATCTACTTCTGAAACACTAGCCATCGAAAACCCTATGGAGCACAGTTCTACTCTGACACACACGTGGGGTTGCCTAGAGTTGGAATCAACTTGACAGCAACTGGTTAGCATGACCTTAATATGGGGGGGTAGGAAGGTGGTGTTTTTTTGTTGCTGCAGAAGTTTTTCTTTTTTTTTTTTTTTTTGAGTGTGTGTGTATTTATATTAATCTCAAATTCAAAGATATTTAAAACAGTGTGGAACTCCACGCTTTCCCACAGTGTTACTTCCTCCTACTGTTGAACCTGTCAGTGACAGCCAGTCTAGAGTGCTTTGAGTTCCTCATTTGTCCAGGAAGCATCTAGTTATGTGGGATTCCTCCTGCCATCTGTCTACAGTTTCCATGTCACTCCCCACGGAGGTGTAATAATTCGTTTTCTTCTCATGCTGTAGGGTCACCCACTGACCCTGGACCACTGCCTGCACCACTTCATCTCATCAGAGTCCGTGCGGGATGTGGTGTGTGACAACTGTACGAAGGTGCGCGTTTACCCTCAGATGACATCTCTGGCTGGCCTGTGCGTCCTTACATAGGGCCTCTCACACAGCTGGCCCCGAGATTTTTTGGCCCTATCTAATAAATCTTCACAGCCACAGCCATCGGTTTGAAAATCGGCAGCCCGTGGACCAAATCTCTTCTCTCGACGAGTTTTGTTTCACCCACAGAGGCTTAAAGAAGAAATGTCCGCGTCATGCTTTGAGATGGGCCCTCTCCTCTCCAGTTTGTCACAGTCCCCTCCATGCCCTGTTACTCACACCTTGCCTTTTTACCCACGCTGCTTGCCTGACCCCCCCAAGCAACTGAATTTTACCCTCTAAATTAAGAGGAACTGTATGGAATAGAAAGAAGCCCTGGTGCCACTGTGGTTAAGCACTCGGCTGCTAACCGAAAGGTCAGTGGTTGGAATCCACCAGCCGCTCTGCATCAGAAGGATGTGGCAGTTTGTTTCCATTAAGATTAAAACCAAAAGCCAAACCCATTGCCCCTGAATCGATTCTGACTCATAGTAAGCCTATAGGACAGAGTAGAACTGCCCCATAGGTTTTCCAAGGCTGTAATCTTTACGAAGCAGCTGCCACCTCTTTCTCCTGTGGAGCAGCTGGTGGGTTCAAACTGCTGACCTTTCAGTTAGCAGCCAAGTGTTTAACCACACTGCCACCAGGGCTCTTTCCGTAAAGATTACCAAAACCATACAAAACCTGTTGCCATCGAGTCGATTCCAAATCATGGCAACCCAAGGGTGTAATCTTTATGGAAGGAGCTCTGGTGGTGCAGTAGTTAAGTGTTTGGCTGCTAACCAAAAGGTCGGCAGTTTGAATCCACCGGCCGCTCCTTGGAAACCCTTTGGGGCAGTTCTACTCTGTCCATTAGGGTCAGTATGAGTTGGAATTGACTCAATAGCAATGGGTTTGGTTTTTTGATTTTGGTGTGGAATAGAATTTTTGAAGACACAGAACAAAATAGATGACATGCCAGTGTCCGAGTTGCAGTGTTGATTCTTCGTTTTCTCTTCCCGCCACCGTTAGTGTGGGTTAATTGCCAAGAGGGGTCAGTGAAAACAATTCACAAGTAACTGGGCAGCTAGGTTCATTACAGCAGGTAGAAGTCTAGCGCCTTAAGTGAACACGGACCATCACCCAGGTGATGCAGCCGTAACCCCAATCTGATCTGCAGCCCTCCCCAGATGCCCTAGTTCAGGCATCTTTGCAGAGAAATGTTTTCTTTTATTTCAGATTGAAGCAAAAGGGATATTGAATGGGGAAAAGGTGGAACACCAGAGGACTACTTTTGTCAAACAGTTAAAACTAGGAAAGGTGAGCCCACCCCACACATTTTGTCGGCTTTGCTTTGCGGACTTGGTGTGTCCTGCTCCTGAGAAGACTTGGCTCTTTCCGGTTTCTCCCCCACCCCCTGCAGCTCCCTCAGTGCCTGTGCATCCACTTGCAGCGCCTGAGCTGGTCCAGCCACGGCACGCCCCTGAAGCGGCATGAGCACGTGCAGTTCAACGAGTTCTTGATGATGGACATCTACAAGTACCACCTCCTCGGACATAAGCTCGGCCAACACGAGCCTAAACTGAACGACGGCGCGGGGCCAGCATTAGAGCTGCAGGACGGGCCGGCCGCCCCCAAGCCAGGTGTGTGGAGCTGACTCACCGGGAATTTGCGGCCAAGAGAAAGGATTTTGGAAACACCCCCTTCTGGATCCTCTGTGATAGAAGGGAGCAGCTTGTGCAGTGGCTGCTTAAAATCTTGAGAACAGAAGGATCAGGGTAGGCGAGGGAAGATCTCTTAATAGAAGTTGAAGTTCTAGACCAATGAGATGTACAGTTTTTTAAACTGTGTTACAGATGAAAGAGCGTAGGGAGAAAAGCTCAGTTTTTCTTGCTTTCTGGTCTTTTGGCTAAACAAAAATTGGCTCACATCACATCATTCTAGGGAGTTTCTTTCTTTCTTTCTTTTTCCCCTCAGTACAGTCATCTCATTTAGACAGAAAGTGTCCTCGCCTCAGATCTCTGAAGGCCTTGTGTTGATACTGTTTCGTTACTGAGCTGTTTACTTCTCTGATTCCATTACTGTCCTTTTTGGAGGTTAATTGTTACATTTGGTGCCTGTGAAGCAACCAAAACCAAACCAGTCGACTTCGACTCCTGGCAAGGGTGTCAGAGTAGAACTGTGTTCCATAAGGTTTTCAATGGCTGATTTCTTAGAAGTCGATCACCAGGCCTTTCTTCCGAGGTACCTGTGGCTAGACTCAAACCTCCAACCTTCCAGTTAGCAGCTGAGCTTGTTAACCATTTGCATCCCCCAGTGAAGCAAGGTAGCTATTATTATGCTCGATCTTACTGAAGAGAAAATGGGGGCTCCAGGAGGTTAAAGGATTGGTCCAGGGGCAAACAGCAAATGGGAGAACTGGCGCTGGAATGCAGTGTTGGGCAGTTTTTAAAAGGTGTCTTAAATGATGTATTGAGGTTTTTAGAGTTACCGGTGGGGAAACTAAAACCCAGTGACTTTAAGGCTCCAAGCCTAAACTAACCACCCACATGCTGCTTCCAGTGAGGTTGGGATTGTCTTCCCTGCACCCCACCCTTTCCCAACTTAACGTCTCTTGCCACCTTTGTTCTTTTTTGCAACCACCATTGAATGATCGGGCAAGATATCATTTCGGGGAGACTGTGTTTTGCTGCTCCTGGGCAGGTCAGCAGATTAACGTAAGGGATTGGCTAGGGCGGGGAGGGGGCACAGTCCTTGGCCCTTGTTTTCAGTCAAGTACCTCTTCACCCTAGCTTCCTTCTCTCCCAGCTAGGGTGCAAGCCTGCTTACATTCAGACCATGGTGACTCCCAGGCCCCCAGATATGATACTTGAAAGGAAAAGAGATATAAATATCATTTTAATTTTTTAATCTGTGCCCATAAACATTAATGTCATTACATGTTGGTATGCCTTAGGAGTTGACAGAATTGAAGAAGAGAATGTTTAGATCAGTCGTTCTCCACAGGGGCTAAATTTTGGGCCCCAGGAGACACTGGGCAATGTCTGGAAACATGTTTATTGTCACACCTGGGGTAGGGAGGACTACTAGCATCTAGTGGGTAGAGACCAGAGATGCTGCTAAATATCCTACAATGCATAGGACAGCCACTGCAACAAAGGATTATCCAGCCCGAAATGTCGATAGTGCCAAGGTTGAGAAACCTCGGTTCAAGTCAGAAAGCCAGTAAGTTAGCTACGGCTTAACTGTCACCCACGTCTTCAGCACACGGATAGGAATCACAACGGTTCAGAGTTGTCAAGGCCAGCAGTGGACCAGGAGCCAAATACGCTTTTCCTATTTGGGATTAAAAGAGGTAGGAAATCGTATGAATCGATATGATATGGAATAATTTTTTCTTTGTAGCATTGTTGAGGCGTTAATTTTCAGCCATGTTTTGTTTCCCCAAAGCTATTGCTAATTTTAATTGCCTCAGGCCTTTTTCTCTTGCAGTTCTGAATCAGCCAGGGGCCCCCAAAACACAAATGTTTATGAATGGTGCCTGCTCCCCATCTTTACTGCCGACCCTGCCGACCCCGATGGCGTTCCCTCTCCCAGTGGTTCCTGACTACAGGTGAGCTACTCTTCAGAAGCACAGTCTTCGTTCATTGTAGGCTGTTTCTCTTAGTGTCTTAAATTAGCTTTTCACAGAGATGTTAATGAAAACTTAGAGATGAATTTTTCTTTCATTTTAAGGTGGAATTTCACTGTGTTACACGTTTCGCAAGGTCCCTGGGTGGCGCAAATGGTTTGCGCTAGACTGTGAACCTAAAGGGTGGAGCCCTGGTTGCTCAGTGGTTAAGAGCCTGGCTGCTAACCAGAAAAAAAGGTTGGCAGTTCGAATCTACCAGCCGCCCCTTGGAAACCCCGTGGAGCCGTTCTACTCTGTCCTGTAGGGTCTCTATGAGTTGGAATTGACTCGATGACAATAGGTTTGGTTTTTGATTTTGGTGAACCTAAAGGTTGGTAGTTCGAACCCGCTCAGTAGTACCACGGGAGAAAAGACGTAGCAATCTGCTTCCATAAAGATTACAGCCAAGAAAACCCTACAGAGCAGTTCTACTCTGTCACACACGGGGTCACCACGAGTTGGAATTGACTTGACGGCAACTAATAACAGCAACACACATTACCCTGTTATTTTTGTCCAAAATGCAAATCACTTTAAGATAAGAATTAAACAAATTCATACAATCTAAATACATGTATGTGTTGTGTGTGTATGTGCATATAAAACTCATTGCTGTCAAGTCAATTCCGACGCATAGTGACCCTATAGGACAGAGTAGAACTGTCCCAAAGGGTGTCCAAGGAGCAGCTGATGAATTCGAACTGCTGACCTTTCGGGTTAGCAGCCGTAGCGCTTAATTACTAGACCACCAGGGCTCCTGTGTACATATATGTATGTATAAATAAAGTATAAAGAAAACTGCATTTTTTGAGATACCACCTAGAGATAACCAGTTAAATCTTTAGGGTCTCCCACTCTAAGAGTTGTGAGTGTGTGTACACGTACATACACGCACACAGTCTCACAGAATGGACATCTTGCCGTGCCAGTAAATATAGATCTGTATTTTAATGGATGTATACTATTGAGTTAGATGGATGTACCATTCTGTCAAGTCTCCTATCATTGAACGTCTGAAAAAACCAAACCCGTTGCTGTCGAGTTGATTCTGACTCATAGCAACCCTATGGGACAGAGTAGAACTGCCCTATAGGGTTTCCAGGGAGCGGCTAGTGGATTCGAACTGCCGACCTTTTGGTTAGCAGCCGTAGCTCTTAACCACTGCACCAATTGAACGACTAGGATTCTTTATTTATTTTGTTGCCCTCTATAAAGCCTCTGTGTTGTATTTGTAAACCGCTGGCCTTTATTCCTGCCTCCCAGCTCCTCCACGTACCTCTTCCGGCTGATGGCAGTTGTCGTCCACCACGGAGACATGCACTCTGGACACTTTGTGACTTACCGACGGTCCCCGCCTTCGGCCAAGAACCCGCTCTCAACCAGCAGCCAGTGGCTGTGGATTTCTGACGACACTGTCCGCAAGGCCAGCCTGCAAGAGGTCCTGTCCTCCAGTGCTTACCTGCTGTTCTACGAGCGAGTCCTCTCCAGGATGCAGCACCAGGGCCAGGAGTATAAGTCTGAAGAGTGACCGCCCAGCCCCAGAGCTAGAGCCAATGGAACCGCCACACTGTTCAGGAACAAAGCAAAATCATACTCTGTGTGTTATGCAGGCAGCCCCACTAGAGTCCTTCAGCCTTCCGCCGTGTTCTAAGAGCAGGCTCCACACAGGGCCAGCGCCCCGATCCTGACCAGTCAGGCGCCCTGCACAGCTCTGCGAGCGTGCGCCCTGAGAGTGTTGTCGTCCTGGTAGGAAAGCATCCGTTACGTCTAGGGAGCCTTTTTACCAGCTATACAGGTAATTAAAAAGAAATCAAACTCCAGAGCCCTTTTTTCTATTCTAATATGTTAGGTGTTTTCCGAGGGGAGTCATACTTTGGCTAATCCTCTGATGTTTCAGTACAGCTCTTTTATTTTTTAATGAGCAGGCCCATAAAAATGGTTGACAAGAATCAGTGGAGTTTAATTTAAAGGCAACAACTTAAGAAAAAGTGCCTTTCACTTTCGACTGCTTTTGTAGCCCGTCCATTCTGGAAAATAGACATGACCTAGAAGTCATATAAACAATTGTTGAAAAGTTCTCTTCCCTCAGTTACTCAGCAGAGAGCAAAAGAACAGTTAAAAGATGCCTGAAGAACACATGCCTTCCCTTTTTGTATGTCTTTTTCTAATCTCTCAATTCTTTATATGTGGTAAAGACACATCTGCCAAACCGGCCCCTCGGGGAGATTCTTTCACTACTTTGTCATTTCGAAGTGAACTGCTTACCTGTTGCTTTTATCTTTTGTATATGGACTCTAGGAGAGGTGATTATATTATAAACCTGCGTGAACAGCCAGAAGTGAGCCCTTCTGTGCAACACCTGTGCCTCCTCTGCTCCATAGAAAACTTGTTCGTACCCTGGGATCCATTGTGGACGGCTGTGTTCATCTGTTTATTTATTGCGCATGGAGAGCCCTTAAGGTTGGAGCCGGGGGCTGCATAAAAAGTCAATCCCTGCCTTGATCTGAGCGCTGGATCAGGAGGGACGGGCACAGACCAGGGGGCTGCAGCTTCTCTGGACCTCAGTTTCTTCATTTGTAAAGAGAGGGGGTTACATTTGATGGACATCAAAGCCCAGCCCTTCCCACAAAAAGAAGAAAGAAGGCTTTATTTTTAAACATGTAGCTACAGCTGACATCTTGTACTGCTTTTCAACTGCTCATTTTGTTATATGACCATATTTTAAATTTCTCTTCATCGTTTCCAGTAGCCTAATATAAAAAGAATATATTGAGCATTTTCCTCCCTTTTCAGATGTCTCGTGAATGCAACCCAGGGCTGAAGGAATTTTGATTACACAGTAGTACCTATGATTTATGGAGCCCTGGTGGTGCAGTGGTTAAGCGCTTGGCTGCTAACTGAAAGATTGGCAGTTTGAACCCACCAGCTGCTCTGCGGGAGAAAGATGTGGCAGTCTGCTTCCGTAAAGATTACAGCCTTGGAAACCCTATGAGGCAAGTCTACCCTGTCCTAGAGGGTCACCATGAGTTGGAATCAACCCTCTGGCAACATGTTATAGGGTCACCTACGTTTTAGCTAAATTTTTTTTATTTTAAGGAAATAAAAAGATACCAAATGCAAACTGAGTCTTCAGAGATAAGGTTGAGAATTAGACTCATCCAGAAGGTCACCTGAGGTGAGGCTAAGAACTGTGCTGCCTTGGCGGTGGAGAGCTGCCCGACGCTTCAAGTCGATGCCTTGGTGTCAGCCGAATGTGCAAGAAGCCAGACCCAGCGTGCATCGTAAGGACTCAGTAACTCTCGCTATCCGTGGAATATACTGTGAAGGAACTCTGGGTCACGAACATCAGTGGAGAGGACCAGCTTGAACCACCTGATCCATTCACTGCTGATGTCCCTTCATCCCATGGCCAACCCTGGCTTTGATGTTGAAACGAACGCACCTGTTTTACCTGAGTCTGGTGAAACAAATGCCCGATCGTGTGACCATGAACTGAGCTGCACTGCAAAGCTGTAGCTTTGAGTAACTGTTCTTCTGCCACCACTCTTTCTTTGAAATCTGCCATTAAAGAGAGATGGCAGGCTGAAACGGGATAATCCTTTTACGGCTTAGTTTTAAGCAGACCATTAGTCAGAAGACAGGGCTGAGCGAAGGCTGTGAATGTGAACGATGTCTGTGCAAAGTCTGTTCATCCAACCTAAAGCTGACTTCCTATTTTGTTAGTTATTAGGAATTAAGTAACAGCCAAATAATCTTATTTCCAGTTTTAAATTATTTACAGAGTTCACAAAGTTAGCTTCCTTTTGCAGAAACCTAAGTTAAACTAGTAGTTTATGCCATAATAACTGCTGATTTATGTATTTGCTAAAGGTACTTTTTGTATCTGCTGTGTATTATAGCAATAAAAGAATCATTTTATTAGGTAAAAATCAACTGGTATTCTTTCCTAATTTACTGATCAGATATAAACATCCTCTCTGAATTCTGCCTCGTTGCGGATTGAGCCCTTGGCTTTGATTAAACCTCTTCTGGGTTCCCAGGTGACAAAAGAAACATCAGTTCCCTCGCAGTGGAGAGCAGGAAAGAGAAAACAGAAGTACTAACTTTCAAAATGTTTTTACTTTTTAGTAAGTAGAATGTTACGAAATGTCAGATTGACCCGCGGAGCCAGAATCTTCTTTCGGACAGGGAGACTGTGATACCAATTGGTGTTGGTTGGCGGGTTCATCAGCAGTAAACTTCCGTGGGCCAGCTGGAGCCTGACTGCCTCCACCCGCTGGGCGGGGCTCTTCCCTCGAGAATCCTTGTGCCGGAAGAAGAAGTCCCTGCAGGCCCCAAAGGAGACAGAGGCGATGGGGCTCCTGGGATCCAGTTCTCGCTCGTCATCTCGGTGCTCACCAATGTGGTCAAAGCCATCTTTATACCTGCAGACAAAATGAAGGCAGTTCGTAACAACAGCCTTTTCCTCAGATGCACCGACGCTGCACGCTCCGTTTTCTTACACTGTGTGACACGGTGCCGCGTGCACGGCCGTCTCTGCCGTGGCTCTGCAGGGGCTTAAGGTCTCTATCTGGTTCTACAGATGGGCCAGACCTGCAGCATTTGCACTTTGTTAGCTAGTCATTTTGATCACGTGCTTTAAAACCGAACACACCAAAAGAAGGCAAGAATACGCCTTATGGTTCTCCTGGTTCGTACTTGTATCCCATAAAATGGCTTCTCCCTGTAAGTAAAGTAAGTCCCTGTCCTTGCTTGCACAGTCTGGGCCCTGCCTACTTTGAGCCTGTCTCATTTCTTCTTCCCTCGCTCACTGCTTCCCAGCCACACCAGTGGGACTCCTGCTCCTCGGCCACACTGGGCTGCCTCCGATCTTCCTCCAGTCATCTGTGTGGCTCGCTCACTCTCCACTTAGTGATCAGCCAGGACTCTGCTGCCTCAGGGAGCCCTCCTCTAGCCACCCCATCTAGAGTGACCATCCCCTAAACCAGGGGTTCTCTACAGGGGTGACCACACCACCAAGGGGACACTGGGCAATATCAAGACCTTTTTGGTTGCCGTGACTGGGAGAGGTTGCTACTGGCATCTAGTGGGTGGACGGCAGGGATGCTGCTCAACATCCTGCAATGCACAGGACAGCCCCCACACCCTTCAAGACACTGATCGCTGTGTGAGATTATTCACGTGTTTGCGCACCTCATTGTAGTGTGAGTGTCATGAAGACTACCTTTGCTCGTGCCTTTCCACTGCTCTATCCCTTGTGCCACATCCTTAAGTGGTACAAACGGTTTGCTCTCAACTGCTAACCTAAACGTTGGCGGTTCGAACCCAACCAGTGGTGCCATGGAAAAAAGGCCTGGCAATCTGCTTCCATTAAGATTACAGCCAGCGTGAGAGAGAGAAGTGGCAGTCTGCTCCCATAAAGATTGCAGCCTTGGAAACCCTGTGGAGCAGTTCTACGCTGTCCTATAGGGTCACTATGCTGTATCGACTCTACGGCAACAGGTTTTTTAATAATATCCAGACTAAAGCACAAAGAACAAAGGAATGGAATATACAAAATAAAGTATAAGAGATAGATACAACTGGGAGGAAAGTTTTAACATTTGCGTAAGTAGAATCTCAGAGGAGACAGAGAATTGGGCAGAACCAATATTTAAAGAGATAATGTCCACACTGTTTCTGATGTTTTCTGATTTTGGAGTAGAAACAAAGGCATTTGCTATATCCATAGCAGGAGATTAGATGCCAGGTTATGTGTTCATTTTCTCCAGAAAAAAAAAAAAAAAGCACATCTGGAACAACTGCTATTATTAAAGTCAATATTATTTCCCTCCCCTAAAAAAAAAAGATTACAGCCAAGCAAACCCTATGGAGCACAGTTCTACTCTGTAACACATGGGGTCGCCATGAGTTGGAATTGATTCCATGGCAACTGACAACAACATCCCTTGTGCACTAAAGAAGTATTTGTTGTACAAATGAGTAAGATATGCCAGAATCCTAAAGTCTTCCTTTTGGAAGAGACAAGGTTTATAAAATTCAGTACACTGACCTAAAAAAAAAAAGTTAAAAAACAAGTAAGGTGTCACCTGTTGACGAGCACAAAGTTGAAGGTCTTTCCAGTTGCCCAAGAAACACGATCCCGGATGCGCTCTAGGATTGGGATCCAGGGCTTTGGAGACAGAGTGAGGCCTGAAAACGAGTAGGTCACCCCAGCATCACCGTAAGTCGCCTGCTTCCTTGGTACATCATGCCACTTCCCAAACACCTGCACCCTGGTCAGTGCCCCTGTTCAGACGACACACACAATCACACAGTCAGCCCTGTCCCTCTGAGCCCCAAAATCCAAACAGGCGAGTGCCCCAAATACATGCTCCCTGAGTACTGTATTTTTTGCAAATAATGCCCACGTAAATAATGTGTCTACACATATAACAAGCAGAAATGATGAACTTAAGAACAGGCAGTACCCGAGTTATGAAGGTCCAACTTATGTACAACCTGTAGTTACAAACCATTAAAAAGTCAAGCTACATACAACGGTTTGCAGTAACAAACGGGCACTACTTCGTGATGCACACCAAAACATTATTATTACTATATTATTATGTTTAAGATATTTTAGTGTATCTGGAAGTGTTTCTTTAATGTTTTTTATGTATAGATAGGGACACTATATACTTCATACTAAGACAAACATTTGACTAACTGATGTTAGATAGGAACCATACCTAACTGTTGCAACTTATGTACAAATTTGACATAAAGACAGACTAAGGAACAGAACATGTTTGTAATCTGGGGACTGCCTGTAAAACAGTTCTGGCACAGCGTGCCCATGCATATACCACGCATGTCCCATGACATTTCCGGAAGTGAATTTCAGGTGCATTCACCTGTCTTCCTATATTACATGTAAATCATATTGATCTGTTCATTTTCTTTACTCTCCTACTTATGCATATAAAAATAGTCCAAAAATGTTACTTTTGATCATAATTGTATGATAAAGGTATAAGCCATGGTCAAGAAGTCATGGATCAGTTTTGGTAGTCCCCTGGTCACTGGAAAATAAACAATCAAAATTGCATTTGTTTCTCAATTTAAGTTGATAATACCACCTTAAGTGAAGTTTCCATGTGATCAGAAATAGAAATTGAAGACAGCAACATGTAAAAAAAAAAACTGGCATATGCACTTAGACAAAAATAACACACGGGGTACTGGGAGAGGTTGCACAGTTGGCAAATACGTGTAACACGTGCGTTATTTGCATAAAAATATGGTACTCAGGATTGAAAGGGAAGTAAAGCAGGAATAACACTTCCCTCTGTTGCTCCATGTTATTTAATACCTCCTCAAAAATCGTTGTGGACTGCCCAAATTTTTCATGTGAGAACCATGATTCCTGTCCTGCACTTATAGAAACACAGTCCTAGTGCAATATATTTGTAACATGGTACAACTGCCTTAACTACTGTGCAGCAGAATGATATTGGGTTACACATTTGTTGTGTGGCATCTAGTGGATTCAGACTCACAGAGACCCTGCAGGACAGAGGAGAACTGCCCCATAGGGTTTCCAAGGCTGTAATCTTTACGGAAACAGACTGCCACATCTTTCTAGCTGGTGAGTTTGAACCGCTGACCTCTCAGCAGCCAAGCGCTTAACCACTACACCACCAGGGCTCTTTCAGTTATACACCAGGGTGGTTTTTAGAAGTCCCTGGGTGGTGCAAATGGTTAAGTGCTCAACTACTAGCCAGAAGGTTGGCGGCTCAAACCCACCCAGAGGCGCCTCGGGATATAGGCCTGGCAATCTGCTTCTGAAAGGTCACGGCCTTGAAAACCCTATGGAGCAGTTGTACTCTACACACATGGGGTTGCTATGAGTCAGAATCGACTAGATGGCAAGCAGCAACAACAGGGTGGTTTTGCCAACTGTGGGGACTAAGGGCCTGTTGTTACATGAAAGACAGGGCTAACGTAACTCAGGTTGTCGTCTGGGGACTCCTGTGGGCTTTTCCGTGGCCCCCTGCAAGTGCTTGGCCAGATCCCTGTGTGGTCATCACAGGGTAGAGCAGCAGTTCTCAATGTGTGGTCCCTGGACCAGCAGCATCAACATCACCTGAAAATTGTGGAAACTAGACTGAGGGGGTGGGGCCCAGCAATCTGAGTTCTAACAAGCCCCCCAGGGGATGCCGAGAACCACTGGTGTAGAGGGCTTGTCTGGTTATTTGCCCACCTCTTCCACTAGACCAGTGGGTCTCAACCCTAGTGCACATTAGAAACATCTAGAAGTTTTTTAAAAACATTGATGCCCACACTCCACACCCACTAGGTTGGCTATTATCAGAAAAAGGAAAATAACAAGTGTTGGCAGGGCTGCAGAGAAACTGAAACACTTCTCCATTACTGCTGGGAACGTAAAATGGTACAGCCACTCTGGAAAAGTTTGGAAGTTCCTCAAAAAGTTGAACACAGAACTACGATTTTAAAAAAGTTGGGAAAAAAAAAAAAAAACTCTCTAATGGTGACCCCATGTGTTGCAGAGTAGGACTCTTCTCCACAGGGTTTTACAGCTGGGATTTTTCCGGAAGCAAATTGCCAGGACTTTCTTCTGAGGCGCCCTGGGTGGGCTCAAACCACCAACCTTTCCGTTAGCAGCCAGGCACTTCATCATTGGCACCACCCAGGGATTCTCTCTAAACAGACCAGTGGTTTTATGAAACAAGCCTTCAAAGAACATATACATACAACACACATCGATCAGAGTCCTCTGCTTACCTGTAAAATATTCCACTTCTTTCTCCAACTGTTGGAAAATCTCATCCGCCTCAGCTCTACCAAACAGGACTGTGTAGTCACAGTCTAGGCCCTGAGCGCGAATGTGCCGCCAGCGGGGGCCTGCCGAGCTCACTCCATCCTCCGCAGTCTCTCTCCTGGGCCTTTTCCTTGAGCTCCCTTCCTCTCCTTCCAACACAGCGGGGCCTTCACCTGTCTGATCTTGTTCCTCCCCCACGTTTCTCTCCTCACTCTTTCCCAAACGGTCCCCGAGAGCCCTCTTCACCAGAAATTTATCCATCCTGTCTCCGCAAAGAACTGGGCACCCCGGGCAAGGCAAAGACACAGGGAGAGGTTACCCAGGCTGTTTCTCTGGTAGAAAATCCGTTCTGCAAAGTAGTCCCACAGCAACACTCCTCCTCACTGTTTTTAAGTTTCCATTTTAAGGTTTAAAACCAGGTCCTAAAAAGGAAGTAGAGGTTGTTAAAGTTGGAAGGACCCCTAGAGATGGTCTGCTCCAGGGTCTCCCAGATTAGCCTGTGGCTGGCTACCTGCAACAACCGCAACGTCTGCACCCCAGCCCCAAGCACCTCAATTTTTAAGGATTTTCTGGGCATTCACATGCAACAGTCAAATGTGGAAATTACCATCCAGTCCAAACCCTCATTTTACAGATGGGAAAACTGACGCCTTGAGAGGGAAAGGGATTCGCCCAAAGTCACCCAGAAAAGCAGTGCATCTATCTCGGTTACAATAAAAAAAAAAAGATGCCCACTCTCTGTTCTGACTCCTAGTGACCCTATAGGACAGAGTAGAACCGCCCCATAGGGTTTCCAAGGAGCGGCTGGTGGATTCGAACTGCTGAGCTTTTGGTTAGCAGCCAAGTTCTTAACCACTGTGCCACAAGAATCTAAATGTAAAACAGTTACATACACAGACACACACTGAATTCCGAAACTAAGAATTGTAACATGTGCGTGGGCACGGGGAGGGGTGTGTGTGTGTGAGTGTTGTCTTTCAGATCTCAGACACCATCCCTGCAGTTCCGAATCTTGCAGGCATCCTGGAAGGGGCTGACGGGAAAGAAAATACACTCACCCAGAACACAGCCACTGCTTCCGGGTAGATTTGCGCTGCAAGCCGGGAAACGCGAGAAAATTTGCAAAACAAGGTGGTGGGAACCCTCCGGGCGCCACCTGCTGGTTCTCTCCATACATTGCAAGCATTTCCGTGCTTCAGTTTAACATCATTTGTTCTGCGACAACTGAGGATCTTGGGTGAATTGTTCCTGATACCTCTCACTGGGGATTATCTTAGTGTCTTGAAAGGGAGTTGGGTCACCAACATATGGTGGCGGGTAGGAGCTCGAGCTCTGCGGTCAGACCCCTGGCTTCCATTTCTTTCTCCTTGGCTCTAGCTGTGTGGGCTCCAGCAGGTCACTTAACCTCTCTGGGCTTGAATTGCCTCACCTGTAAAGCGAGGATTACAAAATCTATGTCATGAGAGGGCCATGAGGATTAAATGAGAGGATATGTGAGAAGTGCTTCTATGTTAAAAAGGAATGGCAGGTTCTATTACTGCTCCTAATTCTTGTTTATTCTGTCTCCCCCAGTGGAATGAAAGTTCCATGAGGTTGTGGACTTTCTGAGAATTTTGACGAATATGCACAGTTGTGTAGCCACCACCACAATCAAGATCCAAAGCAGCTGCATCATCTCAAAATATTCCCTTAGGCCCCTTAGTTGTACACTGTCTCCCCCACCGCCACCCCCACCCTCAATTCCCGGCAACCATTGACCTGTTTTCTGTCCCTATAATTTGCTTTTTCCAAAATTCCTTATAAATGAAATCATACAATATGTAGCCTTTGGGGTCTGGTTTCTTCCACTTAGCATAATGCTTTTGAGATTTATCCGTGTCGTTTGTATCAGTGTTCGTTCCTTTTTATTGCTTAGTGGTATTCCATTCAACCACTCATCTGTCTGTCTGTTGTACTGTGGTGGCTTGCATGTTGCTGCAATGCCAGAAGCTATGCCATTGATATTTCAAATACCAGCAGGGTCACGCATGGTGGACAGGTTTCAGCAGAGCTTCCAGACTAAGACTAGGAAGAAGGACCTGGCAGTCTACTTCTGAAAAAATTGGCCAGTGAAAACCTTTTGAATAGCAGTAGAACATTGCTCGACCCAAGCCATGGTATTTTCAATCACCTCATATGCACGCAAAAGCTGGACAATGAATAAGGAACACCGAAGAAGAATTGATGCCTTTGAATTATGGTGTTGGCAAAGAAAATTGAGTATATCATGGACTACTAAAAGAACGAACAAATCTGTCTTGGAAGAAGTACAGCCAGAATGCTCCTTAGAAGCAAGGATGGCGAGACTTCATCTGATGTACTTTGGATATGCTATCAGGAGGGATCAGTCCCTGGAGAAGGACATTATGCTTGGTAAAGCAGAGGATCAGTGAAAAAGAAGACCCTCTAGGAAATGGATTGACACAGTGGCTGCAACAATGGGCTCAAATACAGCAACAATTGTGAGGATGTTGCAGGACTGGGCAGTGTTTCATTCCGTTGTACACAGGGTTGCTATGAGTCAGAAACAACTCGACAGCACCTAACAACAAACAGTAATCCATTGTTTATTTACCCCATTCATCAGTTGATGAGGCATTTGAGTTGCTTCCAGTTTCCGGTCATTAAAAATAAAGTCACTAGCTATGAGTTGGAATCAACTCGATGGCAATGGGTTTTTGGTTTTTAGGTTTGGGAGGGAGGGGGAAAGGAGGTTAATGGTGATGGAAATATCACATTGATTAAGGGTAGGGTTGCACAGCCAATTATTGTAATTGCTGCCAATAAGTTCTACACCTGTAAGAAGTTGAATTGACAAAAGCTGTATGATAGATATATTTACAGCAATGACAAAAGAAAAAGAAAAGTGTAGCTGCTGAGGCTTCTTATATACAACCAAGCGCTTCACGTGACTTGGTTTCTTAGTTTGAAGGTTTAGGGTCGTGGTTTCATGGGACATCCCAGTTAATTGGCCTAATAACATGTTTAGTGCTTTTGGTCTACCTCCTAGTTCAATGCGTAGTGCCTGGGGTCTTAAAAGCTTGCAAGCAACCATCCAAGTTACAACAACTGGTCTTTATTCACCTGGAACAACAGAGGAAGAAGAAGAGTCAGGAATAGGAGGAGGAAATGGAATGTGTGGCTAATTGTCACCATGAACAACTGCCTCCTTTGCTATGAGACCAGAAGAACTGGATGGTGCCTGGCTATCATTGCTGAACATTTTGATCAAAGATTTCACAGAAGAATCCTGATCAAAAGGGGGAAAATGCAGAACAGAATTTCAAAGTCCCATGGACTCCAGACGTCCTGGAGCCATGAAGGTTGGATGAACCCCTGAAAACATTGCCCTGAGATAATCTTTAAGCCTTACACCAAAAATATCCCTGAAATCATCTTTAAACCAAACAATACTTTAGCTTAACTAGTAAAAAAATGTTTGCCTTGAGCATTATGCTTTCTGTTGCTGTTGTTGACAGAGTAGAACTGCCCCATAGGGTTTTCTAGGCTGTAATCTTTTTTTTTTGGTATAATTTTTTTATTGTACTTCAGTTGAAAGTTTACAAAGCAAACTAGTTTCTCATTAAACAATTAATACACATAGTTTGTGACATTGGTTGCCAACTCCACAACATCTCAACACTCTCCCCTTCTCAACCTTGGGCTCCCCGTTACCAGCTTTCCTGTCACCTCCTGCCTTCTCGTCCTTGCCTGTGGACTGGTGTGCCCATTTAGTCTCATTCTGTTTTATGGGCCTAATCTTTGGCTGAAGGGTGAACCTCAGGAGTGACCTCGTTACTGAGCTATAAGCGTGGCCGGGGGCCAAAATCTCAAAGGGTTTCTCCAGTCTCTGTCAGGCCAGTAAGTCTGGTCTTTTTGAGCATTATACTCTTTTAAGAACTATCTATATGGGATCAAACTGACAACAGCAACTCAAAAGATTACATAGGAACCTTAGGGGATACTGAATTTATGTTAATAGGGGAAGAACAACTCAGAAAAGCAGGGTGAGAATGGCTGCACAACTTGAATAATGTAATCAGTGTCACTAAATGGTACATGTAGAAACTGTTGAATTGGTGTATGTTTTGCTGTTTGTATTCTCAACAATAAAGAAACAAAATAAATAAAATTATATCAAAAAAGAATAAAGATTGCTATAAACATTTATGTACATGGTTTTATGTGAATATAGATTTTCATTTTACTTGGGTGAGTACATAGGAGGGGGATTGCTGGGTCCCCTGGTAAAGAAAAAAAACCCGTTGCCATCGAGTTGATTCCGACTCCTAGTGACCCTACAGCACAGAGTAGAACTGCCCCATAGGGTTTCCAAGGAGACACTGGTAGATTCGAACTGCTGACCTTCTGGTTCGCAGCTGAGCTCTTAACCACTGTGCCACCAAGGCTCCAGGTCCCATGGGAAGTGTCTGTTTAACTTTATTAAAAAAAAAAAAAAGTAAATAAACTGCCAAACTGTTTGTGGCCGTAAGGGCAAATGATTTTGAAGTATGTGGTGAAAACGGTTAACACGCTTAGCTGCTAACCAAACGGTTGGAGGTTCAAGTCCACCCAGAGCACCTGGGAAGAAAGGTCTGGTGATCTAATTCTGAAAAATCAGCCACTGAAAACCCTGTGCAGCACAGTTCTACTCTGACACACATGGAGTCCCCACATGTTGGAATCAACTTGATAGCAACTGGTTTTCTCCTTGGGAGCCCTAGGTCCTAGGCACGGGGACACAACAGCAACAAGGACAAGGATAAAGTTCCTGCCCTCACAAAGGTTACATTCTGGAGACAGAGATAGACAGTAAACAAGGAAAGAAACAAACAAGAAAATTTCAGATAGGGGAGGGGAAGGCCTCTCTGAGGAAGTGTCCTCAGCTGTGATTGGAAGCCTTCCAGGCAGGGGGACAGTGCGTGCACATGTATGAAGGCCATATGGGGGAAAAGCTGCGTGTATCCAGCAAATGTGTGGAGACAGGTCATTGGAGCTACATCTGCCCCACAGCCCATAGGGCCTTGAGAAGGGGAGGAGAGGGTGGTGGTGTAAGAAGCTGGCGTTTTATTCTAAGCATATTTGGCAGACATAGGAGGGTTTTAACCCGGGCATTGTCCTACGGCTATAGGAAAGAGGAGACCAGCTGGGATAGAAGTCACAGAAGGAAAGCTTTAGCTAAATACAGGATTTCTTTTGGAGATGGAGCTCCGGTGGCACAATGGTTAAGAGGCTGGCTGCTAACCAAAAGGTCCGCAGCTCAAGTCCATCAGCTACTCCTTCGTCCTTGGAAACCCTATGGGGCAGTTCTACTCTGTCCTATAGGGTCGCTGTGAGTTCGACCTGACGATAATGGGTTTGGATTTTTTGGGTTTTGGAGATAGAACCAACAGGACATATTGATAGTTTGGATGTGGGGAGGGAGGGAAAGAGAAGAATTCCATGTGTATCGGGGTTGGAGGTAATACAGAGGTCCCCAAGCTGCAGAAAATTCCACTGCAGCTTGCTTGGCCGGCCTCACCATTTCCAGTTCCGCTGCTTGGCGGGCCGCGCAATCTACATCAGAATTCCAGTTCCTTTATCCAGCCAGCCTCACCATTTCCACTTCCATTGCTTGGCCAGCCACGTCATTTGCATCAAAATGGCAGTTCCTTTGCTTGGCCTGTCTCGTGAAAATCCTGGCACCTGCGTGGTATGATTAAGAATGTTGCTGATGTAACTTGTATGAACTCCCTACTTGTAAATCCCTTAAAAATAACTTTTTCTGTCACCCTCTCGAAGCAGTCTTGGCAGCAAAAGCCCCGAATGCCTCCTTCCTTGCACAATGAAATAAAGGCAACTTTACACTCTCCCACTTCCGTTTCTTGTTTGTTGGCCAATACGAGTCACGCCCGAGCAAAACCTGGGGTTTCCACCTGGTAACATAGGTGGTGCCATTTGGGGAATGAATACTTGGAGGTTTAATCTCCATGATTCCAAAGTCTCCCCCCAACCCATATAAATTAGGCTAGCAAAGTGATCTTGGGCAAAACTTTTGCCACTCTAAGCCTTAGTTTGACATCTGTAAAATGTTATTAGGTGTTGTCAAGTCGGTTCCAACTTATAGCGACCCTATGCAGAACAGAAGGAAACACTGCACGGTCCTGCACCATCCTTATAATTATTGCTATATTTGGGCCCACTGTTGCAGCCACTGTGTCAATCCACCTCGTTGAGGGTCTTCGCTTTTTCACTGACCCTCTACTTTACCAAGCATGACGTCCTTCTCCAGGGACTGATCCCTCCTGATAACGTGTCCAAAGCACATCAGACAAAGTCTTGCCATCCTTGCTTCTAAGGAGCATTCTGGCTGTACTTCTTCCAAGACAGATTTGTTTGTTCTTTTGGCAGTCCATGGTATACTCAATATTCTTTGCCAACACCATAATTCAAAGGCATCAATTCTTTTTCGGTGTTCCTTATTCATTGTCCAGCTTTCGAATGTATATGAGGCGATTGAAAATACCATGGCTTGGGTCAGGTGAACTTTAGTCCTCAAAATGACATCTTTGCTTTTTAACACTTCAAAAGAGGTCTCTTGTAGCCGATTTGCCCAATCTGTAAAATTAAACAAACAAACAAACCCCAAACCTATTGCCGTGGAGTGGATTCCGATTCATAGCGACCCTATAGGACAGAGTAGAACTGCCCCACAGAGTTTCCAAGGAGTGCCTGGTGGATTCGAACTGCCGACCTTTTGGTTAGCAGCCGTAGCTCTTAACCATCACGCCACCAGGGTTTCCAATCTGTAAAACAGGTTGTGAAAATTGGATGAGATAATTTATACACTAGCTCAATAAACATTATAATGCTAATTTTACTCATACAACAGCCCCATAGGGTAGGTACTTCAATCTTTTTACAGCTGAGAGATGGAGAGACTTGCCCAAAAGGCAAAGTTACGATGAATGAATATACTGAATGAACGAGCGAACGAATGGAGGGAACCTAGCCCTCATCCAGGCACCCAAGCAGCACCCCAGACCCCACCCACCACCCAGAAGCCTCCTCCGCACACGCGCATAGGCCCTTCGCTGCCCCTCCGCCCCCCGCCCCCAGCAAAGCCCCCGGTCGGAGCATGCGCAAGCTGCTTGGCGCCAATTGCTGACCGCCGCCACCGACAAGAATTTCGCGGGTACCCCGGGCGGCGTGCGCTCGCTCCTTCCTCGGCTCCGGGATGATTGGCCAGAAGACGCTCTACTCTTTCTTCTCCCCGAACCCCGCCGGGAAGCGACGTGCCCGCAGCCCCGAGCCGGTAGACCCGGGGACTGGCGTGGCAGCGGCAGCGGCAGCGGCGATAGCTAAGGACACCGGGGATGTGGCGGTAAGACGCGGCGGGGATGAATTGTGGGGTCGGGGTCTGGGGCTGGGCCAGGGCTGCTGGTTGCGGGCCCTGCGCGACCGAGGGGATGCAGGAACGAGCATCTGACTTTGCAAACGGGGGACTCTATGTTGAAAACAAGTCCCCACGTGTTCAAAACAGCCGCCACGGGCCCTCACCGGCGGCCATGCTGAGGGAGCAGCCAATGGGGGCGAGCCTCGGGGCCCAGGGCGCCAATCAGCGCGCCGCAGGCCCGCCCTTCTCGTCCCACCGTCCAATCGGTTGAGGAGGGGGCGGGACCCCAGGGGAGGGTTTTTGCCGCGAAAAGGCCGCGTGGGAACGCAAGTGGCTGGCCCGGCTAGGCGGGGCGGGAGCTTCCGTGTACCGTCCCCTTTCCCGCCAATCCCTCCAGAGACGCCGCGGGGCTTCCTAAGCCCCTCAGCGTCCTCTACCCTCCGGTTTTAGTTCCAAACTCACTGAATTTAGGGCAGTGGGCCGCTGGCCCGGGACTGGGCTCAGCCCTTGGGTCCCAGAGTCGAAAACCCCCCAAATGAGTATCTTCTGCAAATGGCCTTTAGGTTGGGGCTGGGAGCTGCGGGAGGCCGGGAAAGGGCCGCTGCAGCTCGTCACCCGCCTCTGCGGCCTTCACTTGCAGGCCAGCCCCGCCAAGAAGGCCCGAGCTGGGCAGGACGAGCCGGGCACGCCACTCTCGTCGCCGCTGAGCCCCGAGCAGCTGCTCCGGATCCAGAGGAACAAGGCCGTCGCCCTGCTCAGACTCGCCTCCCGCAACGTTCCTGTGGGGTTTGGGGAGAGCTGGAAGAAGCAGCTCAGCCAGGAGTTCGGAAAACCGTATTTTATAAAGGTAGATGTGGAGAGTTGCCTTTCATAACGTTCACAGTGGAGACTCCTGACGCCTTGTCTTATTAAGATAGCAGGTCAAGTCCGTAAGTGTGAGGATATTGCCTTCATAGTGTGATATTTTCCCTGTGTAAATGTCGTTTTCACACTCAGGTTGTAAAATAAAGCCGTCATGTCTGGAGTTCTCTCATGCTTATTAGCTACAGGTTTTAAAGACTGTAGGATGATACGAAAGGAGCCCTGGTGGCAATGGTTAAGTACTTGGCTGCTAACGAAAATGTTGGCGGTTTGAACCCACCCAGAGGCTCCACGGGAGAAAGATGTCGCAATCTGCTTCTGTAAAGATTACAGCCTTGGAAACCCTGTGGTGCAGTTCTGCTGTGTCCTGTAGGGTCACTGAGTCCAAATCGATTCCATCACACACAGCAACATCAACAGGATGATATCAGCAGTTCCTGGGTGGTTCAAATGGTTAAGGACTACTAATTGAAAGGTTGGTGGTTGGAACTCACCAAGGTGGCTTGGAAGACAGGCCTGATGATCTGCTTCTGAAAGTTCACAGCCTTGAAAACCCTATGGAGCCCAGTTCTGCACTGCACACATGGAGTCAACAGGCATCTGGGTAGACACCACAGGCAGCTAACAACAGTAGGATGATATCATAAACAAAAACAAAAATCAAACCCCGTTGCTGGGGAGTCAATTCTGACTCATAGCCACCCTATAGGACAGCGTAGAACTGCCCCATAGGGTTCCCAAGGAGCAGCTGGCTGGCTGGTAGCTGATGGATTTGAACGTTTTGGTTAGCAGCGGAGTTCTTAACCACTGGGCAACCAGGGCTTACAACAATAGGATGATGTCCTGGCTTCTTTTAATCCACAGGGTTAGTCAGCTGCCCAGAAAAGATTGGCATAGTAAAACCACCAACCAGATTGGATGAAACCTGGCATGGCCTTTTAAAAAAACAAAAAAGCGTTAACAGGAAATTAAGGCAGCCGGGGAAATCTAGCTTGACCCAGCCCAAGAAAGAAAAAAGTCAATTCCGACTCACAGTGACCCTATAAGACAGAATAGAACTGCCCCATGGGGTTTCCAAGGAGCGGCTGGTAGATTCGAACTGCAGACTTTCTGGCTAGCAGCCAGCCTCTTGAACCACTGTGCCACCAGGGCCCCCAAGAAGGAAACGGGGAAGGAATTGAAGTGATTGAGCAACTGTGGTAGGAGGCAGGTACTGTTTGTTGTTATGTTTTAAAAGGGTTTGCATATAGAACTTGGCAAAGAGCTAGATAATTCAACTGGCTTGCTTTATTTAGAGGCTTTCTTATTAAATTCTCACGGCTTCCAGTGAGAATCTGATTTTAAGTCTAATTTATCTTTAAATCAGCTGATGGGATTTGTGGCAGAAGAAAGAAAGCATCACACTGTTTATCCACCCCCACAGCAAGTCTTCACATGGACCCAGATGTGTGATATAAGAGATGTAAGTATAAGAAAGTGATTACTTTTACTGAGAGATGGGAGAGAATCAAATAGTATTGCTTAATTAGGGATGCTGCAGTTAAGCCACTGTCCGTAATTCCGTAATAAATAATAAAACACTGAAATCGTGAGGTTTGACTGAGTATATTTTAGCCTATGTTTGCTCTTTAACTTTCACCGTGTGCTCCTTATGCAGCAAAAAAAAAAAGAAAGGAAAAGAAAAATACGTGTGTAGATCACGTGTCTGTAGCTCATTTCTTTCTTTTTGAAGAAGCTATTTATGAGATCTTTATTTGCTCTATACCAAAGTCAGAATTGAACATCTTCACTTTTGAGTTTTCAGTTTTTAGGAGCATGTATTTTAAGCATCATTTCTGGTATCTTATTTGACCCTGAAACGAACCACATGCTACTGTTATATATTATTGTGGTGTGAGTAATGAAACTGAAGCATGAAAGCAGTCATTTCCAGCTAGTTATAGGACTGCCTGCCCCAGATGACAGTACAGGACTAATATTCAAACTATTCAATGAGTCACGGGGTACAGGGGAATCATTGGGTGGCTCAAATGGTTAAGCACCTGTTAGGGATTGAATTGTGTCCCCCAAAATAATGTGTTGTAAATCCTAACCTCTATGCCTGTGGTTATAATCCCATTTGGGAATGGGTTGTCTGCTTTGTTAATGAGTCAGGGCTAGTGTAGGGTGTATCTTGAGTCAATCTCTTGATATATTAAAGAGATTAAACAAACATGTGAAAAGTAGAGATAGGGAAGAGAGATGCCAAGCCACAGTGAAGATCGCCCAGGAGCAGAAGCTCAGAAGAGACAAGGACCTTCTCCTGAGATGACAGAGAAAGCCTTCCCCTAGAGCCAGCACCCTGAATTTGGACTTCTAGTCTCCTAAACTGTGAGAAAATAAACTTTTGTTTGTTAAACCCACCCATTTGTGGTATGTCTTTTATAGCAGCACTAGATAACTAAGCCAGCGCTGAACTACTAACCAAAAGATCGGTGGTTCGAACCCACCCAGAGGCACCTCGGGAGACAAGCCTTGTGATCTGCAAAGGTCACAGCCTTGAGAAACCTGTGGAATGCAGTTCTACTCTGCACATATAGCGTCTCAGTTTTCTAGTGCTGCTGTAACAGATACCTCAAGTGGATGGCTTTAACAAAGAGAAATTTATTCTCTCACAGTCCAGTAGGCTACAAGTCCAAATTCAAGGCGTCAGCTCCAGGGAAAGACTTTCTTTCTCTGTCGGCTCTGGAGGAAAGTTCTTGTCATCAATCTTCCCCTGGACTAGGAGCTTCTCTGCGCAGGAACCCAGGTCCAAAGGACGTGCTCTGCTCCCAGCACTGCTTTCTTGGTGGTATGAGGTCCCCCACTTTCTGCTTGCTTGCCTTTCCTTTTATCTCTTGTAAGATAAAAGGTGGTGCAGGCCACACCCCAGGGAAACTCCCTTTACAGTGGATCAGGAATGTGACCTTAGTAAGGGTGTTACAATCCCACCCTAATCCTCTTTAACATAAAATCACAATCGCAAAATGGAGGACAACCACACAATACTGGGAATCATGGCCTAGCCAAATTGATAAACGCATTTTTGGGGGGACATAAGTCAATCTGTGACACATAGTGTGGAATCAGGGGCAGTTGTTTTGGTTTTTGGTATAGTCGACCCCACCGTGACTTCTAGTTCAGTACGTATTCTGTGTGACCACTCTTTGTTGTCGGTACTTTTCAAGCTTTTGACTTCCGGCCTGTACGATTTCGATGTGCTGTTAACAAATCCCTTTGCTGTAGTTCATCCTACACCACCACGACTGATGAGTGACTCCAGTCACATCAATCTCCTGTTCAAGAGCTTGTCTGGGGTTTTGCACTGTACAGGCAGCCCCCGTTAGGAGCAGGAGATTGGGACAACTACTACTTAAGAATGGACTGCCATAAAGCCGATTATAGTTAAAAATTGAGTTAAATACAATGGTTTGTAATAATGAACGCATGCACTACTTTGTGACCTCATGAAAACATTGTGTGGTTTGGAAGTGTTTCTTAAGTGTTTTATATGCAAAGGAAGGTAAAATATATACTATATACAAAGACTAACATTTGACTAAACCGAAACCCATTGCCGTCCAGTTGATCCCGACTCCTAGCAACCCTATAGGACCGAGTAGAACTGCCCCCTAGGATTTCCAAGGAGCAGCTGGTGGATTTGAACTGCTGACCTTTTGGTTAGCAGCCTGAGCTCTTAACCACTGCACCACCAGGGCTCTGAACATTTGCCTAACTGATGCTGAATAAGAACCGTATGTACCTCTTCAGACTTAACCTACAAATTCAACCTAAAGACAGACTTAGGAATGGATCTCCTTTGTAACCTGGGGATTGTATATATAAACTATAAAAGAATGGAATACGTCTTAACCTCCACCTCAGAGTGGACTGAATGGTGCAGCCTTCCTCATTTCTGTCTTGAAAACCAACTTACTAGATCCATCTATGGCCTCTCCTTGAAGCCTTTTGCCTATGACCTTTGTGATCTGGCTTTCCTTTAAACCCCCACAATATGCTCACACTGAAGGTTTTGGGGTTTTGTTATCCTTTTCCCTCCCATATTTGTAAGCTGGGGGCAGGAATCCTGTGACTTATTAAATGTCTGTTAAACCAAATGGAAGTGAATTAGGTGAATAAACCATCTTGATAAGGCAGCCACACCTACTACTTAGCAAACTTCACAATTTGCATTTTAAAGTAAGAACTCTGACTGTAGCTCCTTGTTTTGACATTAGTTTGCTCTTAAATGTTTGAGTACCATGTTCTGTTCTGAATACCAGCGATCAATAGGAAGAGCATCAAGCCTGTGCGAGTCTGAGTAGTGGATGGGTCAGCAGGGCTCCTTTGCAGAAAAGCGTACTGACGCTTTAGCTTGGGGCTGTTAAGTAGCTTGCACCAGGAAGGTCACTCATCCTGGACCAGATCCTTGAACACAAAAGCATCCCTCCTGGGACAGGTTACTTCCCTATGGAGAGTATACTGGGGACATTGAGCACTTAGGGGAGGCACAGAGAGAGGCTCGTGGCAGCTTCCTGGACACGGAACATCTGAATCTGGATTTTCAAAAGATAAAAAGTATGTCAGCTGTGGAGGAAGATTCTCAGCAGGAGTACCATAGGCATAAGCTTGAGAATGAGGAAGAGGTGGGTGGGCACTGAACAAAAGGGTCAGCCACCTATTTCAACACCTCCCGTGACAGTGACCTCGTTCCCATTCCTTGCACCTGCTGCTGCCTCCTCCCACAGCCCTTTTGACCTGGCCTTAATCTCTTGAGGTTTTGTCCATTAGTGATTGTAGGGGATCAGGCACCCTCACGTCGCTAATGGGGAATTTGAATTGCTTCGACTCATTAGAAAGTGATTTGGTAATAGCATGAAAATTTGAAATAAACTAACTCTTTGATTGGCAACTCCACTATTACAAATCTCGTCCATAGAAATGAAAAGTAATATTTTATGTAATGGAAATAATTTGGAAACAAGTTGGCTGCCCATTACTGATTAAGCTCTCTATTGTCTTGAAAGATGCCCCAGATGTGTGACATGAAAAATACAAAATGTAGGGTAACGAGTACAATAGCCCCAAATACCTAAGTAATTGAAAATGGGTAAAACAGCATGGGATAGGGCTGACCGGGAGGTAACTCATTTCTTTATATGCTTCTGGATGGCTGCACTTGTTTCAAGGGTGTATTTACTTTGGTAATTTGAAAAACGAGCATGAAAGCAAAGCCAGCTTGTTTGAAAAACCAGTGTCAGAGAAGGAGTTGGGGCAGCAAGGCAGGGTGATATGGCGTGCAAGAGGATTTGGTGATGGGAAGTGGTGGTGCCTTGGGGTTCTCAGTTGGATCACGAGGGTTTGCCTTCTCACTGTTGCGTTCCTTTATAGGTTATCGGTCAGCCGGGTGTTTAGACCGCCTGCACTATGGTCTTGTTTAACTTCTTGCCAACTGGTATTCACAGGTGAAGGTTGTCATCCTGGGACAGGATCCGTATCATGGACCTAATCAAGCTCATGGGCTCTGCTTTAGTGTTCAAAGACCTGTGCCACCTCCACCCAGGTACAATTGCTCTATAGATGGTTCGGGTCCAGTCGTGACTACTTTCAGATATATACTTTGTGACTTACAGGTGTGACTATTTCGAGGGCTCTCACTAGCCTTTGGAGCAGGGTTTCTCAACCTCACCCTATTGATACTTTCGGCCGGATCATTCTTTGTAGTGGGGGCTGCCCTGTGCATTGTAAGATGTTTAGCAGCATCCCTGCCACTGGACGCCAGTAGCAACCTCCCCCTCCCCAGTTGTGACAACCAAAAATGTCTCCAGACCCTGCCCGGTGTCACCCGGGAGCCAAAATCGCCGCTGGTTACGAACCACTCCTTTGGAGGAGTTTATATACAATGTATAAAAATATATACACTAATATAAACATAAAGATACAAAACCGTAAACATCATTTGTGAAAGAGATTGTAGCTGCTGGGCTAATTAGGTCTTCCAAAGTGTTAGACCTTAAATCCAAACACAGACCAAAGTGAAGTCTAAGATTTTGCATTTGACCTGTGCTGGCAGGATTCCATTGTTTTTCTCCCTGCCCAGCCATGGCTTGAAGGAGGAAAGGATGAAATGGGGGTGTTTAAACATTTCCTAATCAAGGGCTGACTTACAGACTTTAACTTCTAACCTTTTCACAGGTATGCGGGTGGTTGCTGAACTTTCAGAATTATGTTTAACATTCTCTCTTTTTTTTTTTTTTTTTGCTTTTCCTCTGGCTTTCAGTTTGGAAAACATTTATAAAGAGCTGTCTACAGATATAGATGGTTTTGTTCATCCTGGTCACGGAGATCTGTCCGGGTGGGCCAAACAAGGTAACCATGTTTGGGTTCATTGTTACAGCTGTTGTGTCAAGCCATCTCATTGGGGGTTTCCCTCGGTTTGGCTGACTCTTCACCAGGCATGATGTCCTTTTCTAGCCATTGGTCTTTCCTGATGATGTGTCAAAAGTAAGTGAGTTGAAGTCTTGCCATCCTTGCTTCTAAGGAACGTTCTGGTTTTATTTCTTCTAAGACTGATTTGTTTATTCTTCTGGCAGTCCGCAGTATATGTGGTATTTTTTGCCAACACCACGGTTTGAACACATCAAGCCCAACTATTACTAGATATATTTGGATTAACTTCAGCAGCCTTCTCCTTTCTATCCTGCTTGTTTGTATTTTAAAAGATAGCTAAAAAACTAGAGGGCTGTCATAAAAGGGTTAATTTATGTAAGTAAAAAAGAATATATTATCGTAGTTTATCTTGTAGCCAATGTTTCCTTTCATGTTGTAGTCATAATCTGAAAGAGAAAAATGGGTTTCTTATTAATTTTTAAAATTTACCTACCCAAAGATTCTTAACTTTGACCATTTAGAAGTTGGCCTCACTCTTCTCATTTTAACATAAGAGTTGTGTGTGTGTGTGTGTGTGTGTGTTTAATGCCTACCTATGGGACTTTTTTCCTACTTTTTACATTTTTACAGTAATCAACTGTCTATACAATCAGAATAAGGAAAGAATATCAGTCTTTGATAGTTTTTTTTTAGTATTTTATTGTGTTGTTGGTAAAAATATACACAGCAAAGCATGTTCCTATTCAATAATTTCTACACATAATGTTCAGTGACATTGGTTATATTCTTCACAATGTGTCAACATTCTCATTATTTCCGTTCCCATCTCATCTATGCTGTAGAGTAACAGTTGTCAGTTTGGTCTCATACAGATTATTTTTTAAAAAGGTGGTAGTGCTCACGGTTGACATTCGCTACTTTTCGAGCTAACCTGCTATTTAGTTAAAAGGTAACTTCATGGAATAGTTTCGCTTCAGGGTTTAAAGAGTACTTCAGGGCAGTGGTCTCGAGGATTCCCATGGTCTCCACGTGCAGTATCTTTGGTTGTTTCTTGCTGTTTGATTTTCATTTTCAATGAAATTTTTGGCCTACTTGTTATATAGTAAAATCTGCAAAAGCTAGTCCCTATGTAAGGCGGAAACCTGTCAGAGGAGGAAAACTCAAAATGTTTTCCACTAAACAAATGATACAAAAGTGGTAAGACTGCACCCTGTCAAAGGCGGAAAACTTTCGAGACCTGGAAAAACAAGGCAGTCCCGTTGAGTTCCAGCTCTCCCAAGTTTCCCTATATTTCCCGGAGCGATTTAATATCATTTAGGATATTTTTAAAAGCAGTTCTTCCTGATGACAACAATAATGAACGTTCACTTGGAAGATGTCGAAAGGGCCGAGGTGAACATAAAGCGCCCCCTAATCTCATCACCCAGAGATGACCACAGTTCACGTCTGACCACAGTTCACGTTGTGATGCTTTCTTCATGACCTAATTTCTATGGTTTCATCGTGTGTTTAACACCCAAGCTGAGTGTTCGAGCTGGTTTGTGGTAACGTAGTTTTAACCTGTTTCTTCCATGTGTGTTCGTAGGTGTTCTCCTACTTAATGCTGTCCTCACCGTTCGAGCACATCAAGCCAACTCTCACAAGGAAAGAGGCTGGGAACAATTTACTGATGCAGTTGTGTCCTGGCTAAATCAGAACTCGAATGGCCTTGTCTTCTTACTCTGGGGCTCTTATGCTCAGAAGAAGGGCAGTGCCATCGATAGGGTATGTAGGTGTTGTTTTTTTTTCTTTTAGTCACATTAAAGCAGTTTAGAAAATTCCAGAAATCATTGCCAAGCAGTCCTGAAAATCCATGTCATAAAGTTAAGTGAGTCTTGGTTTCCCTTAAGACTGTTACAGTTGGGTCTCAGAGAGTGGAAGTCATTTGCCCAAAGTTGCAGTAAACGGTGGTGCCGAGATCCGAGCCCAGCTCTGCAGAGCTTCAGATTCTGGGTTCTTAAGCACCATGCTGAGCGGTTTGTCTGTTCGCCTGGGTAGGCCTGTGGGAGTGCTGCGTGTAGTCTTTGAACAGGGGTGTGTGTGGGATTGATTCTAAGCCAGTGGTAGAGTCTGCAAAGGTTTTGTGTGAATGAGCAAGATCTTTTCAGGCTCTTTTACTTTTCTTAAGGAATAACAGAAATAAAATCTTGCATGAATGAGCCAACTGTTATCTGATTGTCTAGGTAAGTAAGAAGTGTACATGAAAGTAATTTCTAATCTCTGCTTTAGGCAGGTTTGCGATCAATAGATCTATTACCTCAGCATAGTTTTTATTCAGTATATTTATAATCTTTATTATTGTTCAGCATGGTTTGGTCTGAAAGTAAGCAGTTGTTAAAGTACCTTGATCATGGAAACCAAGTTGTATATCTCCAACTGTAAAAATGGTGGTGTGGGGACATTGGACCTCCTCTTCTAACTTGGAGGGGGAGGGGAAGGAGGAGAATCATTATCAGCATCAGCAGTCCAAGGCTGATTGCTATGAGGTGGAGGTCTGACATACCTCTACCCTCCCCTTTTTACCAGTTCTGACACCAGCCACCCCTCCCACAGCACTCTCTACTTCTTGCTGGGTTTGATAATTCATTGCAATGGCCACACAGAACTCACAGACCATACTCAAAGTTATGGGGTTTATTAGGGAAGTAACAGGTTACAATTCAGGATCAGGAATGACTCAGGATACAGTTCTTCGATCAGGACAGCATCTTCTCAGCCGTGCCTGCAGGCAGACCTCTCTCTGGCCTTAAGCTCCTCTGCCCCTTGGCCCGGCCTCTGCCCTGCTCAGGCAGTTGTTAAAAAGCAAAGTGTTACAAAGCTCTGCCAATAAATGCCTAGGGGCACCCCACTCCACCAGTAAGCCTGCAGCCTGAAGACACTCAGCTCTCTTGCTCTGTGGGTTGGCACATCCACTGTTAATTGCCTTGCTCCATCTCCAGTGTTACAAACTCTTTGTCTCCTGGGTCTAGGAGGTTCTCAGTGCAGGGACCCTGGGTCCAAAGGATGGGCTTTTTGCCAAGTCTAACAGAATGGCAAAACCGACCAATTCCCTCGTTAGGGCACCATGCACCTTATTTGCATTATTAGCAAACTGTCCAATCCCTTGGTGGGCCACAAGCACCTTATTTGCATAGTCCCACCTAATCATTTGGTGGGAGTTACAAGACATGGTAAGAAAGGCCATATTAAAGTGATCCATTGCACCGCACCAACCCAGCCTAAATCCATATAGTCAGCTGCATTTTTATAAGTGACCCATAGGCACATCAAGTTCAACATGTTCCAAGTTAAATTCTCCTTTCCTGATTCATTTTTCACTAAACTTGTTCCTGCGTATTCCCCTAGTGGATTTGAACTGCCAACCTTTTGGTTAGCAGCCATACGCTTAACCACTGTGCCACCAGTGCCCCAAAGGCTCCGTATAGAGGGGTATAAAATGGAAGGGAAATGCCTTCCACTCTTTCTTTCCTCTTAAAGGAACTAAAAGTTTCTCATGTATTTTTCAAAAAATATTTTTAATGCATTTATCACTTTATTCTTTTTATTAATTCATAAGGAATCACTATGCGTTGTTTTTTGTTTTCTCTTGATATGTTTTGGAGGTCTTCCCATATCAGACCATGTAGCTCGACCTTGTTCTAGCAGCCGCATGGTGTTCTACTGTAAGAATTTTAGAAAAATACTCTTAGCCAGTTCCATGGTGATGGGTTTATATAAGACTTTAGCTGGTAGAAGCAGTGCTGCAGTGAGCCTCCTTAGACGCGTGCCTTTGTGTCGGTCATGCACCGTGTGGCCTTTAGCAAATGCATCCTTAGGTGTGGTGGAATTGCTGGGCTGTGAGGTGGGGGCACTTAAAAAAAAGGGCGGATATTGCCAAATCAAGGGCCGAGGCTGGTCTTTTGGCATGCTCAGAGCCTAGCAAAGGTAGTCACTCTGTAACAAATGAGTGAATGAATGAATGGATTTGTGTTCTAGTGTAATTGCTGAAGGGGAAAGAAACTTTGGAAAATGGGTGAATTTAGAGAGAGCAGAAGGGCACAGAGAGCACAGCAGTCTTGGAAAAGTCCCCAGTATGCCACGTTTTATTCCCTTGTTTGCCCGGATCTCTTTCAGAAACGGCACCACGTGTTGCAGACTGCCCATCCCTCCCCGTTCTCCGTGCATCGAGGGTTCTTTGGATGTAGGCATTTTTCTAAAACCAATGAGCTGCTGCAGAAGTCTGGCAAGAAGCCCATCAACTGGAAGGAGCTGTGACCTGAGCGAGGGGGTGGCCTCCACTGGTGGTTTGTGAGAAGCTGCTGTTGAAGAATTAGTTGTGAAGTGCAGTTGAAAAAATAATTTCCCTAGTAATTCTTCAGTACCCTGCATAAGGTGAATTGCTTCGCTAAGGCAGCGATGAGCCAGGCTGCCTACAAGCAGCAGCTTTTTCCAGCCAGAAACAGCAAAGACTGTCCTCGTGGCCTTAGAGCTTTCTTTGCAATGGGACTTTCACTGAAAAAACTCAGTCAGTTTCTTCAAAGACAGTTGAGTTCAAGTCCTGTTTTGGCCTCCCTTACCGTTTTGGTTAAAGGGAGGAGACGTGCACCTTTTGAGTACAGCCAGTAGTTTGGTGCTTGCTGATACTTATTTTTACCTAGTAGGTTAGACTTTAGGTTAGAAGGTGTTGGGTGTTTTTATTTAGGAAGGCCCCCTGCCCCCTGCCAGGCATTCCAGTCTCCGCCAGAGACATTGACTCCATTGATCTTTTTTCAGGAAACAGGACGGTATGCAGGTTTCAGGAAATCTGGTCCTCAGCTGGTCCAGTAATTAGGGATCAATTTCCGGATTATAACAGAGGTGAAAATTCCTAACAAATGATCCTTGGTGTGAGCCTTAACAGATGGCCAGAGGCTAAGAGAAATGAGCTGGGGGTTCTTTTTATTCTTTTGGTGTTTCTTGGAATAAAGGGTGGAAGTTGAACAAGGAAGAGAAGATTTTTCTTTATGGGAGAAACGCTTCTTTTCTGAGTTAATTTCGAGTTGGATTTTTTTTTTTTAAAGGGCAGCATAGACTGTCAAATGCTATTTTTTATGGACTGAAATAAGTTTGGGGTATTTTTTCTGCAAGCCTCAGGAATTTTACTTTTTTGAAAAATACGTATGTGGATGTATATATATTTTTTTAATCCTTTGTTTAAGAGACCATCGTTATTAGGCCTGCACCTCCGTCCTTGATCTTGTTAGAGATGCTATTTTGCTGTTAACTGGGTTAAAGCGTTAACCCCGCGTGACTTTGGTAATAAAAGATTGTTGAAAAGATTGTTGTAGTCTCGCTTTGTGGCCCAGTAGCCTTTGTCAGCTCCCTCGGATCCCAGAGCGCAGGACAAGACGCAAGGACGCACTTGGTCCAGGCGCCCAGCCCTCCGGGCTCCGCGGGCTCCGCTGGGCCGTCCCCATGACAACCATTGTCCGCAGGAAGAACCTCCTTTGCCAGCTGGCCCGCCCTCCTTCCTCGCGTCCCTCCGCCCCTTGTCCCTCCGCCATGCCTCGGTAAGCCCGGGGCCGGTTCCGGGGAGGAGCGGGGGCGAGACCGCAGCAAGGCGGACCCCTCCGAGCTGGGCCCCACCCCAGCTAGGAGCCAGCACCCTAACCCCACGAGTGTTGTGGGAAGCCCAGGTGGGGTCAGGGTCTGCAGATACCCTAAAGGAGAAGCTTCACGCTGGGAAAAAATAATTGCTTCAGGCCTTAGCACGGCCATCGTGGCTGTCTATCCTGTGATACCCTGTAACAGTTTGAGAATTCGTTCCTTCGGTGCTCCCTTCGCTAGTGTTTCTAGACTCTGCCTGGCAATCTGGACTTGAGGTGGAGAGGCTAGCGGACTATAAAGACTCCCTGATGGCTGCTGACCTGCCAGCACTTAGCTCTAGTAGCTAGGGGTGGAGTTTGCATTTCTCTGGTGTCCAACCAAGATTTAGACAAAGCATGCATCCAGCGCGAAAATCTACACTTGCAAAGCTGTTAGCGCAGGGGCGTGGAAGCTTTACTTTGCTTGAGAATATTGCTTTCCTCTGGGCCTTACTTGCCTCATCGATGAAAAGAAGAGTGTATGATCCTCACATTCTGAGATCAGCAAGGAGCGGGTTTACAGAATGAAGATGTATTTTCAACCCACCCTCTGGCACCTTTGGGGTCCTCCCCCCTGAGAAATTACAGTGGAGGCTACTGCCCAAGGGAGAAGGAAAGAGATAGCATTCCCAGACCAGTTAGATTTTGGCACTTCTCGCCTTTTAGGGCTGTAAGGAGTAAACGCTGAGTTACCATAAATTATCAGAAAAGCAAGCAATAATCACTTTTTGAATGTACTGAACGTTAGAAGTGTACTGACCTTTCAAACAGTACACAGTTGAGTGTCTTAAGTGGTCTATGACCAAAAAATAATACAAATACAAATTTCATCACTGATTCTTTAGAAAGAACGCTCATTATTTGGATGAACTCTTTTTTTTTAATTGTACTTCAGGTGAAGGTTTACAGAACAAATAGTTACTCATTAAACAGTCAGTACATATCCTGTTTTATGACATTGGTTAACAACCCCACGACATGTCAACCCTCTCCCTTCTCAACCTTTTTTTTTTTTTTTTTGGTGAAAATACACATAAACAAAGATACACCATCGATTTCAAAAATTTCTACATGCACGGTTTAGTTACATCGATTACTTTCTTCCAGTTGTACTGCTATTCTCACTTTAGATGAAGGTTTACAGAGCAAAATAGTTTCTCATTAAACAGGTACACATGTTGCCCTATGACAATGGTTAACAACCCCACTACATGTCAACACTGTCCTTACTCAACCTTGGGTTCCCTATCACCAGCTTTCCTGTCCCCTTCTGCCTTCTAGTCCTTGTCCCTGGACTGCTGTGCTTCATTAGTCCCGTTTTGCTTTATGGGGCTGTCCAATCCCCGGCTGAATGGTGAACCTCGGAAGTGACTTCACCACTGAGCTAAAAGGGTGTCTGGGGGCCATACTCTCGGGGTTTCTCCAGTCTCCTTTAGGCCAGTAAATCTGGTCTTTTTTTTGTGAGTTAGAATTATGCTCTACATCCTTCTCCAGCTCTGTCCAGAACCCTCTGTTGTGATCCCAGTCAGAGCAGTGAGTGGTGGTAGCCGGGCACCATCTACCTGTACTGGACTCAGTCTGGTGAAGGCCTTGGTAGCTGTGGTCCATTAGTCCTTTGGACTAATCTTTTTGTTGTATCCTGTTCTCTTCATTCTCCCTTGCTCCCACAGGGGTGAGACCAGTGGAGTATCTTAGATGGCTGCTCACAGGCTTTTAAGACACCAGACGCTACTCACCAAGGTAGAATGTAGAACATTGTCTTTATAAATTGTGTTATGCCAGTTGAGCTAGATGTTCCCAGAGACCATGGTCCCCACAGCCCTTGGATGAACTCTTAATCACGCAGTAATAATTTTTTCACATTTCCGGGTTTCCTACAATTCCAGCACTCTGTATGCAAAAACCAAAAAAAGGCAATTTTAATCTTTTAGGTCAGGGGTCGTTAAACTTTTTCTGTGAAGGGTCAGATAGTAAATATCTCAAAGGCTTACACTCAGGTGGTCTCCGTGGCAACTACTCAACTCTGCATTGGAGTGAAAGCAGCCATATACAAAATGTAAACAAAGGTGTGGCTATGTTCCAATAAAACTTTATATATAAACACTGAAATTTACATTTAATATATTTTTCTGCTGCCGTGAAATATTCTTTTTTTAAAAATGTTTTTTCAAGCATTTGACAAATGTAGAAATCATTCTTAGCTCGGGACTGTTAGGAAAACAGGTGGCTAGCTGGATTTGGCCCCTGGGCTGTAGTTTGTGGACCACTGTTCTAGGCGCTTCCGCTCAGACCTCAGCAATCACAAAGTCCATACGTTGTGTGCTCACAGTGTGTGGTGCAGTGCGAAGCAAAAGGAAGCAGCCACTCAGTCGGCTCAGGAAAGAAGAGATTTCACAGCAGAGGCAATGTCTGAGCTGGGTATTGAAGGAATCGTCGCTTGCAGGCCTAGAAGAGGAAGGGGAGCATTTTGTGCAGAGGAGGTGGGCTCTGCAAAGCCAGGTCACTGGGGAAACTCATGCTGTACCTGGGACTGAGCAGTTCATGGCCCAGTGAGCAGGAGTGAGCCTGGACAGAAATGATTCAACAAGGAATAGAGTTTGCTGAGGGCTCTCAGAACTTGTAGTCTGAAGTCAAACCACAAGGAAGTCAGTTATGCAAAATGATGTGCTAGGCACCCCAAGTTATAAACTAATTAATTGTATGATAGTCACTATATGCTTTCGATTTGAGTCCAGCAGGGCAAGGTCAGGAGATGTGAATTGTTGTTGGTTTTTTTTCTTTTTTAGACTTTAGCATGTTGTTAGTATACTTCTATTATTTGATACTGCATTTTCCTTCTTATAAAATTCACTTTTGGCTTCAGTTTGCTCCCAGTAAAGAAGCTAGTTATGACACTGGTGTCTTAAAACAAGTGTTTGGTGGAGAAGCAAACGTTCGGGTGTTTGTGTGTGGCGATGGCTTTCATTCTTGCTGAAACCTTAGAGATTTACAAGGAAAAATAGGTAGGGGGCTCTGGGTTACTTTGGAGGGTCTTCATGTGTTGACTTATGTTAATGACTGAAGCTGAGGGAAGACAACGTGTACCTCTTGGGAGATGGCCTCTTTTTCTCTTTAAAGAGTCTAATTTGGGCCTCAGCATTTAAAGTTAGCTTGCAGATGATCTCAGTTGGGGCCGTTTTAAAATTTTCAGAAGTATGTTTGGAATTGGAGGTACTAGTGAATGGAGCAGCCCAGGAGATCAATGGCGACTGAAGATCAGTCTCCTTCAAACCTGAGGCTTGTATAACTTTCCGTTCTTCAGTTCTCGACTGTGTATTTCCTGTGTTCTTTCGTCACTCGAAGTTAGAGATGTTTGGGATGACGGAGAGGGGGCAGTCAGTTTCACATCCTTCCTGAAGCAGGTTGGGAGGCTTCGAACAAGTGGTTAGTGCTCCCCAAGGCTGCAGCTGGGGAGACTTTAAAAAGTGTTACTGCTGGGCCCCACCCCTAAACTCTGACTTTACTGGTCCTTGCAGGGCTGGGAATGGAAGGGGACAGACTGCCCATCCCTCCCCGTTGTCCATGTATGCAGGATTCTTTGGATGTGGGCATTTCTCTAGAATCAGTGAGCTGCTCTGGAAGTCTGGCAGGAAGCCCATTCACTGGAAGGAGCTGTGACCTGAGCAGAGGGGGTGGCCTCCACTGGTGGTTTGTGAAAAATTAGCATTTTCATAGAGTCTGGTTTGCAGCAGGATCTGAAACTTCTTTCCCTGTTTCCTTGGGCCATGTGACCACTTATTTATTTGTGTGTGTGTGTGCATGTGTGCAAATAACTTAATGCACATGACTCTGAATCTAAGATATGTTTGAGGAAATATATTTTTCTATTAATGTTCTTGTGTTTTGTGGAAAGAGTTTATCAAGAACTTTGGTTTCAAGCTTTCCATTTGGCTTCTGGAAAATACTTATTATTAATTTTGATTGCACTTTAGGTGAAAGTTTACAGAGCAAATTAGTTTCTCATTAAAAAATCAGTGAAAATACTTATGTCTTAATGAGATAATGTCAAGGGAGACCTGAGCCACCAGAGAGTTCTTAGCGAATGTGTGTGTGTGTGTGTGTGTGTGTGTGTGTATGAATGTGTGTGAGAGTGTGTGTGAGTGTGTGCTGGGGTGGGGAAGGTTGTGCTAGTGTTTTTGAAAGGAAATGAATTTCAGTCAAAAGGTATTATTAAGTGCCTGTTATGAGCGAGACCCAAGGCTAGAAGTTCAGTGTATATCATTTCATTTAATTTTCCCAACTGTATGGTGAAGTGGAGCCCTGGTGGCACAGTGGTTAAGAACTCAGCTGCTAACCAAAAGATTGGCAGTTGGAATCCGCCAGCTGCTCCTTGAAAACTCAATGGGGCAGTTCTACTCTGTCCTATAGGGTTGCTCACTGTAAGTCAGAATCAACTCGACAGCAATGGATTTGTGTGTGTGTGTGCTTTAAGTGAAAGTTTACAGCTCAAGTTAGTTTCTCATACAAAAATTTATACACACCTTGTTATGTGACCCTAGTTGCTCTCTGTATAGTGTGATAGCACATTCCTCCTTTCGACCCCGGATTTCCCATGTCCATTCAGCCAACTCCTGATCCTCTCTGCCTTCTCATCTTCCCTCTGGATAGGAGCAGCCCATTTAGTCTCATGTATC